GTATAAGCAGCTGTGGGCTGCTTCATTTTACCAGTTGCTCCACATCCTGTTACTTATGATCCATTCCTGGGTATGTCTGCCAGCAAAACTTCTGCCAGAAGAATGATATCTTTCATTTTTAAAACAGAAGCTTTCCTTTTTATATGGAGGATCTTTTTTCATCTCCAAGCTGTGTGCAGCAAGAGACTGATGAGAAGGCTGCATGTGCAAACCATGCTGATGAGAGGGGTTCCAAAAACCTTATTAAAATATATATGCTGACTTAAAGTTCAGATGGTTTCCCTGTAGCTGACAGAACTGATGCTGCTGTACATTACTCTCCTGAATACATCTTTCCCAGGGATTACTTATTCCTAGAACACTTGGATAGTGATACTTTTGACTTAAAAATAGATCAGATTGTACCAAGCTTCTTCATCTCTTGTTCTTTATTATCAATATAGCATATTTTTCAGTGGAAATCTTTTCAGGAATGTCTGTTATGGAATTAAAAGTTCTGCTGTCTTCTGTCATGTCTGACAACAATTTGTGTACAGAGTATAAATATTTTTTTTCTAGCTCCTCACTCTCAGTCCCTTAGAAAGACACTTCTCTCTGTTCATGGATTTTATTGTAAGCTAAAGAAGCAGGTTTTGTGAAATGTATTGTTAACATATTGGCAGTCCTTTCCTGCTGCTTAGTAGGTCAGCTTTGTAATAACAGAAAATGGAGGGAAGCACAAAGATAAGCTAAAAGACATGTAGAATTCTGTCATGAAAAGTTACCTGCTGCTTTTTTGTCAAAAAATTTATGCTCCCCCACCCCAGTCACTCACAGTATTTGAGGTAGCAGTTTTCAGTCATATTTCAATAGAGGTAGCAAGCTATTTAAGTTGTCCAAGACTATAAGTGCTTCATTAATTAAAAAACAATTTGGAGTACATAAGGCAGAAAAGCAGCAAGCTTGTTTGCAGTGCTAGAACCCCAACTGTACCTGGGACACTGTAATTAAGGTTTTGCTTCAGTCCAGACAAGTATGTCCATTGCTAGATGTGTAAACTGTTTTGTATGTAAACAACGTGTACAAGAGTATACACAATTTCTGGTATAATTTGTTTATCAGCTGTCTTCACCATTCCTGCAATGAATGGCATTGTGAATTTCTGACAGGTTCATAAATGATGAATAGTTCATAAAGTTTCATTTTGGGTTAATTTTTCTGTTTAATCTCTCTCCGTGAATTAAACCTTAGGGAAGGTGATGAAAATCTTAGCTTTTTCATTAGATAGGGATATATAATTCAATAGCTCCTTTAGCTTCAATCTAGTGTTATTCTATACCCCAGCTCCAACTATATACCTGATTTATACACTGAACTTTTCTATTAATATCAGTGTAATTATAACCAACTCGTTTTGTCAAAATTTTAGTGGTCATTGCCAACTATGTCTTAGAAAAAATAGGGAGTTAATGTTTTTGAACTACTCTTCAAAACTCTGGAAGCAGTGCGTTTTGGATATTAAGTTTGTATATGTATTAATGGCAAAGCATTATACATACCACCAAATACTTGCTTTGCTTGCAACACAGGAGCTTTTTGAATCTGTTCTACAGTTACTTGAGTTACTTTTGCTTAACTGCTTAGTGGTGAAAGCTGTTTGGTGCTTAGATTTTTTTGAGTGCAGCAGAAAAGGTTGCACATTGATCCTGTCTTTTAGTAACAAATGAAATTCTGACTAACACTTGATACTGCCTTCCTTAGGGCCACTGTGGCCTCTACAGTCAGTATTTTGCTTTTGGTTTCAATGGACAAATCATGAAATCATTAACAGATTTTTAAATGATCTTTTTTCTCTGCTTGTTTTTAGCTTTTTGGGTCACTGTTACACCTTTTGATTTTGGAAACAGGAGGCCATAATTCCTAGCTTTTGTGTGGAAGGAAGCATTACTTCCTAACACTACTTGTTTGTGAGAAATTAGCTGTTAAAATCATGCCAAAATGCAAATGAGGGGGCTGAGCAGAATGGCAGGAAGTTAATCATAGCACTCCACGTTCTTGCAACCTGCCAGAGTTGGAAGTAATTCTGTACCTCACTGGAAGGCTGGAAAGGTCGACTTTACAGAAGTAGCAGTAGTTCATGCTAGACACAGTTGCTTGTTGAATTATCAGGACAGAAACTACAGAATTCTCATTTTGGCTTTGTAAATTGATCCAATATAGCAACTGAAGTAGTCCAAAACTAATGTACAATCAGGATTCAACTTAAGGTTTGTGGGTTTGTTGTGTTTTTTTTTTTTTTTTTTTTTTTTTTTTAACCAAATAATAGCATATGGAAATGAAAGAGGGAGAATATTTGAAGAATCTGAACAAGCTCTTAGCAAACACATTTTGGCGGAATAGCGGATATGTGAAAATTCTAGATATATGTATTTACTTCCAAACCATAACAGAAACATGGCTTTATTAAGAAAGCAGCTGCTTTTCTCTCTTGTGAAGCAGCGGGTTATAATGCTTTATTGTTGCAGAGCAATTGCATTTTGCAAGCTGTGCTAGGATTAAAGAATGATTCTAGTGTGTTTAAAATCTCATTGAGAAGTGAAGGCTTTGTCTTTAAACCACCACACCGTGGTGAGCACCTTGGCCTCCAGCAGGTTACACACACCCCTGAGAAAGCAGGTGGGCACCGGCTGGGCTCCACTCCACCAAAACCTGCAGCTACTGCAGGCTCAGTGCTGCCGTGGTCTGTCACCGCTCCCACTCAGCACTGCTGGCTGCTAGATCTGGATGAGAGCAAACAATCAGTGTAAAGTGATGGGATTCAGGATGAGACTTTTAAAAGTTTTCCTGAACACTATGGAGAGAGGCAATAAGAATTATATTAAGATGTTTATCTAAATCAGCCCTTATTATTGATAGCTGAGGAATAACATAGAGTAGTTCTGAGCAAGCACAATAGAAGAAATCTGAATTGCCACAAAGAGAGTGTGAAGGGCTTGCTTCTGCCCTGAGGTATACAGCCCAAAATATAAACCTCTGTGGATGACAGAAATGTATATATGCATTCCATGTTAAGAATAGAAAAGTAAACTGCTTCTAAGTATTATTAAAAGATATATGACTTATCGCAATATACTGAGCCTCATTGTACTTCATACATGGTTTAGCAGAAGTCTCCCAGTTCTGCACACAAAACTACATTTGTATGGAGAGAAAAAATAAATTACTGCCCCTGTAGGTAGAATTTCCGTCCAGAATTTAAGATGCAACTTATAAAATATGAAGGCTTACTTTAAATGTTATGCCCAGCAGTTTCCTTTTGGGATTAAATCTATGTGCTTATTTATAGGAATCTTTTCTTTCTTTGTGATTAGATGTAATAATCAGACTATATGAAGACTTCTAGTGAAGAAGAGATAAAAGGGAGTATATGATGCTAAATAATGATAGGTTGTTTCTGTAGTCGTGGCAAGCGATGCGTTTAGAATACTAACAGGTTATTGACTAATGGCTTTGTGGAATTTATAGATTATGAATAATACCAAAAACTTCCTGTAGAAGGACTTTTTACCTGGACACTGGTGTGATTATAACAGATTGTCAAGAGGTCTGTTCAGGAAAAAACCTGTGTGGTCGTATTTGCAGCAATCCTATATTTCTGAAATGTAATTAAATCTGCATATGTAGAAAGTAATTAAGAAGCAGAAATGTCAGTTGTATTTTGTGGTTGTTTTATAGTGGTTTATGGTATTTAACTATGTTACTTAAAGAGGAAGTAAAAAAAAAATAATCTAAATGCCTTTTCTTCCCCATGTAAGCCTTATGTTCCTGTGTTATTTAAACTCAGTGGATGGTTAACACCTTATAGAGACAGACAGACGTTTATTGAGAACAAGTATCTTTTGTCTCTCAATTATGCTAATAAATGAAAAACATTTATTTAAACCCTTAAGACATCTGTCCTTCAGGCCAGGAACGTGGGATTTTATGGGCCATGGAAACATTAGGGATTTAAATAGACTTTTTTACAACTTTCATCATCAATGCATATCAGAAACAGCTCTCTACTCTGCAGTAATGCCTTGTTGGCTTCAATAATGCAAGCAGATGCTCTAAAATGTCCTAACGGAATAATTTAATAATAATTTAAAAATCCCTGATGGTTTAAGTCTGCTATTGCTAAAGAACATACAGAATGCTAGAAATAATCTCTTGAGGCACAAGGTTAACTGCCATATCTAGCTTTGTTTTCTATCAGAAAACCCCTTCCCATTGTCGAGCTGTATAAATAGTACCACAGACAAAGAAATGCTAGGATGAAGAGCGTTCCTCGGTTGTTTACCTCTGAACCTAAAGAAGTTAGGAACAAGATTTAAAAGCCTCAACAGGAAGAGAAGTGCAGGTAAATGCCGGTCAGGCAGTACCTTGTGACTCAGGTGGCCGATTTTGTGAAAACCTTGCTGAATGCACATCTTGCTCCCGACAGCAAGTATGATAACCTGGCCGCGGTCAGGCAGCTCGTTAGGAGGGTCCCGAAAGCAGAAAGATGATTGTTACTGTGAAAAGACCGGAGCGTAGGAAGCTCTCGGTGTGGTCCGGGAATCCAGCGGGGCCCTGGGGCCGGGTCGCTGCCACCGTGGCCCGCGTTCCCGCAGGCTGGGAGCCCCCCGGACCGAGGTGCCGCCGCCCGCGCCCGGGAGCAGCCCGGGCTGGCTGCGGGCTCCGGGCAGCGCCCGCCCGGCCGCCGCCCCGGCACGGTCTTTCAAGCGGAGGGGGGCCGGGGGCCCGGCAGCCGCCCACCGGGGACGCGGCGCCGTGGGGCAGCGTGGGGAGCCGGCAGCGGCGGGGCGGCCGCCCCCCGCACCAAAGTTTCCGCGGGCGGAGGGCGGCCGGGTAAGGGCGAGGGGGCAGCCGAAGGGGCGGGCGGCTCCGGGGGTACCGCGCTCGGTACCGCGAGCTCCCCCCGCGGCCGGTGCGCGGGCAGCCGCTCCCGCGGAGGGCGCCGCGCCGCCCGCGGCTCCTACCTTCCAGCACCGAGCAGAGTTTGTGCAGGGCCATTGTCTCCCGGCGACTCGGCGGCGGCGGCGGCGGCGCTCACCGGCGCTCCATGGCCGCGGCCGGGCGCTGTGGCCCGCGGCTACGGCTGGGCCGGCCCCCGCCCGCCCGCGGCCATGCCCGCTGCCCCCCGCGCGGGGCGCGCTCAGCCTCCGCCGCCACAGCCCGCAGCCGCCGCCGCGCTCAGCCCCATCGAGAGCCGGGCGCGGCGGGCTCCGTCGGGGCTGGGCTGCCCCGGGGGCGGGGAGGCGGCGGGGGGGGGCGCTCCCCGTGAGGCGGTCCGAGCGCAGCCCGGCAGCTGCCAGCCCGACTGAAGCGGCTGCCGGCAAACGAAGCTCATTTAAGATGTGAGGGGTGTTTGCCTGGATGAGCCGCTTGTACGCATGTGCCCGCCCCCCGCGGAGCCCCGCAAGCAGCCACAGCCGCAGCCGGCGGGGCCGCTGTGCTGCTCCTCTCGCCCGGCCGGGCACCGAGCGGGGGCGGCGACCGTCCTCGCCCCGGCCCCGCGGGGAGCCGGTGGTGGCCCCGCCGGGGCGTCCCGTCTCGCACCGTGTCCCAGGCCCCGTCCTCCTCGCCCGACCGCCGGGATTTTCCTGCGGAGAGGGACCCGGCGGTGCCCGGCCCCTCTCCGGGACACGGTGGCTCGGGTGAACCCGAGCGCTGGCTGCCCGCCTTTGTTAGGGATTTGAGTGGGGTCCCGGTGGGGTAAAAGGGAGCCGGTCCTCCCCTTCGTGTTCTGGGCCTCCCGTTCTCGGCCCCACTCTCGGCAGGGAACCCGTAGGACTCCCGCCGTGCCCGGCCGCAGTGTGCCTGCGGCTCGGCGCCGGGCAGAGCCCATCACGCGCGATTGTGCGGCTGTTGTCTGACAGGAGTGACAGCTAAAATGGAGCTATTACTTTACAAGAAGTTAATAAAAAGGCGCACTTAGCCTGCTGCCTGCCCTGGCTCCCATCCCTCTGGCCATCCATCACATCGGGTTAGTTTGCGAGCGCAGATGTTACTTAGGGAAGAGGCCGGAGGCGGGGGCGGGTGGCGGTGGAAGGGAGGACTGGAAGCTCCGGGGAAGGGCTGCCGGGAGGGGGGGGGGGGGGGGGAGGGAGGGAGGGACCCCGCCGCGGGGACACCCCGGGCTCCCCCCGGCCCCTTCCGAGCTGGCAGCGTGCAATGGCAAGAGCCGCTGCTCGGCCGGGAGCACGGCCGCGAAAGGCTGCCGTGCCCATAGGCTGCGTGTAAAATTATAGCGACATATGTAAGCCCGTTAGGGAGATGGTTTTTTGTTTTGTTTTGTTTTGTTTTTTCAAATCTCCCATAGGCACCACGAGTCGAAGTATCTCCGTGTATCTCTCATCCTTTCCCTAGACATGCCGATCAGGCGAGGCTGAGAGCTTTTGCTCGGCAGCCCGGAGTGGTGAAACAAGGCGATGTTTAGATCTGTGCGCGGAGCGCGTCGCAGAGCTTTGCGCAGCGGGCAGGAGCGGTGCGAGCCCCCCCAGCCTCCCTCCGGCCCGTTCACCGCGGGGCTCCGGCGCGTCCTGCGCTTCCCCCCTTCAAGGGTCTCCCCTTCTCCCCATCGCGGTCGTGCACGGGGGAGGCGGGTCCGGGCCGCCGGGTACCCCGGGCGGGACTCCGCTGCCCGGGCTCAGGCGCGTCGCGGGAGCAATCTGGAACCTACTCGATAGACGGACAGACAGGGCTTGCAAACTGTAAATGAGATGCATAACTGCAACTTGCGAGTCCGTCCGCGCAATGAGTAGGGCCGCTCGCTCCCCACGGTCGCGAACACGGTTGTGAGAGGTGAAGCCCTGATTCCCTTGCGGTTTGGTGCGATGTGTTTGGATGTTAAATACTCTAATGTGCAAAGGTCAGCATATCCTGTTAGAAAAGGTCGTTCTCTTGCTTCAGATTATCGGTTAAATATTTCAGGCTCTTCGAGTCGCTGGGATTGTCAGTTGGGGTGAGCCCGGGGAGCCCCGCGGTGCGGCGGCTCCGCTCCCTTCGCGCAGCCCCGCGGCCGCCCGGCCAGACCTTATCGCAGGGGTCTTGGGCTTTCCTGGCTGTTAAAAGTCCATTTCAGTGTTCTAAGAAGCTTGATGAAGTATTAAGCTTGATCCTCTGGCAAAACCCCAAATTACATAATTATATTATTCAGTTTACTCGAATTGTCCTTTCAATTTCAGATAGAGATGATGCAGTCCTTCTCAAAGGGTAGTTTCCCCATTAATTGTGAAATTGCTACTGCATTCCAGCAGTGGAGAAAGCAATTTCTCTGTATTCACCTCTTAACCATGTATAGTCGTGTGATGACATGTTCAATTCTATAGTGAAAACTCCTGTACAAAGAGAAGCCCTCATTAGGTGGATCTACTTTGCCTTTTTTTTTTTCTTTACCAACAAAAATGTTTACAGTAGTAACTCAAGAAAATACCTGACTAATAATTTATACTGTATCTGTTCATAGTCCACAGTTATCCTCTCTGCAAGTACAAAAATCTGACTATGCTGTTGTGCAGATTGTTAGGAGTCAGAGGTTTCTTTTTTTTTCTTTCTCTATTTTGGGAACACACAGTGTAGCTGATGGCAAAATTTGGCTCGGATATTTTTATTACTTGTGATGATACAAGAAATGAGAGAAGTAGCCTGATTCTTAGATCTCATGCTGAATTTACATTCAAGAAATCTATTTGTGGTCAATTGTTTCACATCAAAGAAGTAGGAGAAAAACCTGCTATGTTGTGCTCAATACAAGTTGGTAGTAATTGTCAAGACCCAATTTGCTGTAGTCAATTTAACTGAAAAGTTGAGCTTCTAGTGTGTCCATTAGAAGGTAGAACAGGGCTGTTACACACTTGGGGCAGTGCAGTAGCTTTTCCATCCTGTTCTTTTCCTAGGGCTGCGTCAAGCTGTCACCGGGGTCATCAACTTGTAGATTTGGGGCATATTCCACCATCGTTTACTGCCGCTTTCTGAGAAACTTCTCATGTGGACATCCCTGTCTTCTTGTCTTGCTAGAGCTCTTATAGGTTGTGCTTTAACATATTTTATAGTAAACTAGTGTCAGATCTGAAGAAACTTTCAATTTCCATTTTCTGAGCCTGCAGAGTGCTAGTTTCCAGGGAAGAAAATGCTGTGCCACTGCGTCAAGCTGGCAGGAAGCTTGAGTTAATTAAACTGGAGTTTGGGAGTTAAGAAAGGTTGAAAATAGCTGTTGGACAGCTGGTTGTGTGTTGTTCTGCTGCTCTATTGAGTCATCTTGATTATTTTTGAATGGAAGTAGTTTGGGGAAGGCAATGGGGCTGCTCATTTTGATGCAGGTAAACACCTGCGTGAACAGTTACTAGTGAGTGAGTGAGTTACAACAGGTGCTCTGCTGCAATAAAAGGCTTCAGTTGCCATTATTGGAAGTGATTTTGCCTCCTCCCAACAGTTGTTCCTTAAAACTTCCTTTGATTTGTGGTTCTGCTAGAGGTCTTAATTTTAGTATTACCTAAAGTATTTGCTGCTCTTGAGTAGCAGATTGTACGTCACAAATAGCCTTAGACCAGCAGTTTTTTACTGTGTTTGAGGCTATTTGGATATTGTGTTGAAAGGAGGTTGGAAAAATATAGAAGTCAACAGGGAATAATTATAAAAGGAAGTTAGGAGTTTCATTCTAACTGCTCTGGTACCTGGGTTTGTCAGTAAGTGCATTTAATAAATCTAAATTATATACAATTTCTGATTAGAAAATGATAAAAGGTGCAAATGCCTCTTAGTGTGGTAACATAATGTGTAAACATACATAAATGTGTAATTGGCTTTGTTATTTACTACTGAGTTAAGAACACTACAAACTTTGAGTCATGAAGCATACTGATAGTCTTCAGAAAGCTTACTGTGCAATTTTCTATTTGCTAGGCAATATAATTAGATCTGAGTATTACAGTATACCTACAAACTTCCATCTTAAGTTAGGAAATTCAAGAAGTTGGCGCATTACAATTTTTATGGATTGTATCATAGATGGGACCACATTTTTTGTTGAAGAAATAAATTAATTATAAAAATAGTGCTGTGCAGATGATTATTTTTAGTGACAGCTGAGGCCAATAGGACTAGTGCCTCAACAAAAAGATCCTGTTGCCAAAATGGAAAAAAAAAGTAAAATGCATAATAGGCCTAGTGAAACAGCATACCAATATTTCAGATTTAACATCTCTATTGTTCTTGATTTAACATACTTCTCAGTCTTTGATCAAAAAATTTGCCCATCCCTTTAGAATTTGTACTATTAATTTGTTTTTTTTTTTTTTTGATTTAAGCATAATTTTATTTTCTGGATTTTAAAAATAACTATTCTGGTTATTATTACGTCCAGAACTGCTCTGGTTAATGCTTTTGCATCATTTTAACAAAAGTAGGCTCTGATGATTATAATATAGTAAAAACTTATGGATTGACTTCTGTTCTACTTAGGTGTCATTTATTTGGAAGTAGTTATAAAAGTCCTGAATTGACTTGGTGCATTTATAGTGATTACTTTTTAATTAACTGTAGCAAATGTTTTTCTGTTAAGAAAGATGGCCTCACCCTAGGAGCAGTATCATGCTATATGGAACACGCCTATTAATCTGCGGTGTAAGAATTGGTTCTTCTGTTGGGGGATTATGGAGCATTAATGATAATTCTAGTAGGAAGACTCAGTCTTAAAGCTCTTCATGGAAAATGAGAACAAAGAAAGATGGTATTTCAGCAGCCATCTGGCAGTTGGCGTGTCAACAGTATTTTTATATAGGTGAGATTTCACACTGAAGAAGCCTTCCAATGGCATTTCTCACCAGGGCTGTGTTAGGGTAGATGCATTTTTTAAAATTTATGTAGTTAGAACTATTTCTTACTTCTCCAGTTATTGTGACAATCACCTGGAACTACACTTTCTAATTGATGCTTTCTTAAACTTAGTGGTAGAAGGGTAATAACCTTACCCAAACATATTTTTGATAGTTATAGAACAGAAAACCAAAGTATGACATGAAACCTTTGACAAGAGGTTTAACAATATTTAATGTCTTAATTCAAATGTATGCATATACTGTTGTGAGCCAAGCTATGAGTAGTTAGAACCTGTGGTAAACTTTATTATAAGAAAGCTAATAAAGCGCCAATAACGTATTGTATATAAAGAGATACAATGATGCACTACTAGGCATGCAAAATACCTAAAGCAAAAGCTACCGAGTCCATTGTTTTGTTAACTTGACAACAGCTTAAATGTCAGCATGAGGTTATTTCATTCCTAATTGTTTTTCCAAAAACTGTAAGGAGGCTAATCTATGTTTATTATATTGTGATAGAGGATTGCTGCCACTGTGGCACTATACATTTAGCCTTAATTTTTCAACCATCTGAAAAAGATAGGAAAATATATTGAATTGTGCTTCCTCTTAATTATGAAATCTGTTATTACTTTCGCCATCGGGCGCAAATTCTAGTCATCATGTTGAAGAAGTCCAATAGCCTGAAGTATTTATCTAAAAAATCTTACCTTTTCATGCTACTCTTAAGAGAAATATTAAAGGTGTGCATTACAGAAATATGTTATCCTGAATAATAACAGTAATGTAATATGAAAGTCTCCTTTGTTGGCATCTGATCGGTTCATATGAGAAATATCTAGTAAAACTTCATAGCTCAGTAGACTGCTTAGCAGTACTTTTTTGATTTTTGGCTTGGTGCTGCTGTATGAATGGGTCACTGTTCAGCACTGCCATGGTAACCAGCTGCTTCACTGTGATGCAGGGTGGACATAGTCAGTTCAGCTTTGTACCTGCTCTCTTTTCTCTTCTGGTACTGATGAGGCAAGGTAGCGAGTGCTACAGGACAGCAGGTTACTGGCCAAGCACCAGACCGGAGGAGATAGTTACTGCAGAGGTGATTGCCTGTAAGACCAACGCTTTGGAGTTTGTTGTGTTCTAGTTTATCAAACAGTATTTACTGGGAATGCAGATTGACAGATTTAAATGCACAATTAATCATGTAAGCTCATATCACTATGGAATACATTCTAAATAAAAGCATGATTTTTGTAGAGACTCTTCAAGGACCCAAAGTACACTGAGCAATTGTGGCATTATCACCATTTTCAATACATAAAATTGAGCTACTTGTCTTATGTAATTATTACAGTCTTACGAAATCTGGGCATAGTAGGGGTACACAGACAGCATACATTGTTTATTCTGACTGTCCTATTATATTCTTAATTTAGTCTTTGTATACCTCATTCCTTAGCAATACATTTTAGGGAATCAATCCTCATTCTCCTTCCACTCCAGAATGTTTCCTTTAGCTTCTTTAAAAACAAAACTAAACAAAAACATCCAATACCTTTCTTATTAAAAAAAAAAAAAAAAAAAGTTACTTTCATAATGACTTTAGGCCTTTTCAAAATAAATGTGGTTATAGTTTAATTATAAAAGCAGTTTATGTAATGCTGATCCATTTTCATGGTTTAGATTTTTTTAATGGGTTGTCTTCTCTCTAAAACTAACACACGTAAATACTGCATCTATCCCATGATGATCTATGGAACTAGCATTAACATTACAGGTTTCTTTTAGTTCTCCAATTCCTAAATTCTTTCACTATTGCACATGTGGGTTTAAAAAAAGAAAACTACGGAACACTCTAGGTTGAGCACCATTTAGTACAATCATCATAATTAATGACCAAGTCATCTGAGAAATTGCTCAAGCTGAATTTTCAGAAATGCAGGTTATTTTGCAGGAATGTATAAATGACAAGACCGAAGTGGTACAAAGTATTCTGCTCGCTGAAATGCTAAACTTTATTTACACAGCTTTATATCAAATATTACTAAAGAACTGGTGGTATGTAAACAATGGAACATGCAACTTGATCCCTTTACTAAGAAAAATAAATTTACGTTTCTGTTAAATAAAGACCAAATGCTATTATACAGTCTGTTAACTGAAAGGCCTTGTGAGACATTCAGGTATAATTTCAATCTTTCCAAATAAATATCAAATAATGCAACATTTACAAATAGCACACCAGTGGTATTTTCACGGTAATCATTTTACAAATCAGAATTTAATATTTCAATTAAGCAAATGAGTAGCAGCTCCTTCATAAATATTAAGGCATGTCACATAGCATCAAAATGGAACCGATGAGCCTCCTGTCGCTTCTCTCTGTCATCTGCTTTCTGAAAAATAATAATGAAGAAAAACTTTGTGGGATCTAAACCAATGCTGTTACAGAAATGGGCTGTCAAATATCAGAGAATGGTCAATGTTTTCCAAGTCACTCATTTGACAAAAGGCAAAAAGCTCAGTAAATGCCCCAGTAATTAGCTTTTAAATGATGTCAGTTTGAAATAACAATAATCTACTAAAAATTGGCTTCTGCTGTTTTAGTATTTATGACACACTGTTTTCTATTATTTCGAATAATGCTTTTTAAAAGTATTTTAAAAATGAAGAACGTTTCCTAGTATGTATTTATTTATTCTGCATTACAAATACAAGATGAAATTACTGTAGATGAACTGTAAATGTCATCTATGTTATACTTAAAATGAGATTCTTTTTAAAAAATTCTGTTCAATACAAATTTAAACAAAGATGGCACTTCAACCAACAATCAACAGTACCAAGTAGGCTAAAAACGTTCCATGTTTTTGTTTGTATTGTGAAAATGTGAGGTGGGATGCGTTTCCCTGCTTATTTATGCAGAACACACAGTGATCTTGCCGAAAGAGTAGTTCATATGGTGCTTGGAAAAAAAGCAGCATATTTAAATTGTACCTATAATCCGTGTAATATGTAAAAACATGCCCTCTCCCACAAGCCTCCTCTCATGTTCTAAAGCAGTAGCAGAGTATGAGAGCACTGACTAAAGGATCTTTGAACACACAGTGTGACCTTTTCTAGAAAACAGTGCTTTTGTCATGACAGACAGTATGTGTAAACCCTAGCATAAGAGAATTTAGCGAAACAGATTTAAATGCTTTTTAGCTTGCTTATACCTAACTTTTTTTTTTGTTTCAGTGAAATGAAGAAAAGACTTTACAGTATGCTGTTGTGTGGGCATTCAGATTTGTATCTCAGTTGATAAATATACATGACAATTTTGGTAGAAATCAGTGCATGTGTTCTGCCATGGAAGCTTGTCATCTGCTTTGGCTTGAGGCCAAAGATTTCCTCATCACTCACTGTTTATGTATGATAGCAACTCCATTGGATTAACTATGGATTTTACTGCACTTTGTGGCAGCAGCAGAGCTGTCAGTGAAGTTTAAGATATATCAGTCTGGCTTTTTGGCAGGGACTTTATCAATGTCAGTAGTATTTTGAATGTCAAAAATGGGGTGGGAAGAAGGGAGGGACATACTCTTTCCTACATTGAAATGCTTGTCACATTCCACAAAATCTGATAGTCTCACTTAGAAAGCAATTTTCACTCCATTTCTTGTATGCTTCCTGAAAAAATTACTACTTCAAATTTGACAGTAACTGATACTCTGATGAATCCATCAAAACTCTAGCAGTATTATCATCAATGTGTAGCATTCACATGACTAGCCTCAGGACCACAAAACAAGTTAAAAAGAATCAGAATACAGGAATATCAAGGCCCTTAGCTAATGTAGCAGACTATATTTGTTGCAGGATGAATAGTGGTGTACATACTTCCTCAATTTCTCTTTTATTTGATGTATCAAAGCTAAAAACTAGTAACTGAGGTTTGAAAGCTACTTTTTTTTTTTTTTTTTTAATAAATGGATCCAGAACTTCTAAAGAATGGCAGAGCAACATACTATCCCTAAATCCTACAGTTATTCAAACAACACAATACTTGGTTGATAGACAAGTGTATAAGAACTATTGTAGACAAAGGGCTCCTATTACTACTTAACTGCAGAGGTCAAAGTAAATGGTTCATTTTAACTGCTGAATAAAACACTGCAGCTTACAGACAGATCTATCCTCTGGGGGAAAAGAAGAGATTGTAACTGCCAGCACATTTCCCCTTCCTTTCTTTGCTATAGGTACTCTAGAGATCTGCAAGGGAAAACAGCATTTAGGCAGAACAGTAATTTTATGAGAGGATTACTGAAAGAGGCAGTAAACCAAGAACAAGCTTAGAAACACTCCCAGTCATGTCAGTGATGCACATTACAGCCTTGGTCAAGATTCTTATTTACTCTGTACCTCAGCCATTTTTTCTAAAAATTGGGAAGGTAAAAATCAATGGGAAGGCACTGGAAAATTATAGGAATTAACAAATGCTTATACAGTAGTCTGAAAATACACACAGTTTATCCAAATATTTGTGCCTATTTTGAGCAAGATGCAGCAGCTGGAGAAGAGTTTATATTATAACCAATACACCATTTCATTCACATATACCTAATGGGGTTTAAAATGGCTCAGAAAGCACTCATTCTGGGCTGAGTGCTTCTCTACATACAGTACATGAATTATTATATGAAGAATTGTTTTAAATGTTGACATTAAATCTCCATTTTTCCAGATGGAATTATACATAGTTAATCCTTCTCCAGCTCAAAGTCCAAGTATTTTTTCTGCTACTCCTGTTGCTTAAGATGTGTTGGAGAAGACTTAAAGCCAGCCAGCGCGTAGTCCTAGCTAGCCGTTAGCAATGCCTTCTTGGTACAGTAGGGCATGCTAGGGACAGTCATCATAAACTTCCTATTTCTTTGCTTTGTGTGTGTTATCCCCAGCTTTACTACTATTTGCAGACTGTATTTAACATTTTGAAGAGTGAAGATTGACAGACAAATAACATTTAAATATGAAGCATGCGCAAAGCCTATCTGAATGTTTAACAAGGTCATTTTGTTTCCACAAGCACAAAATAACAAACAGTTTTACCGTGTCAAAATGTGCAGTAATTTTATTTGACAGCTAAGATTAGGGTTTGGGTATGTAGTAGCATTTATTGGCAATCCTGCCAGTTGGATATGACTGTGAACTGAGCATCGTTAAGAAAAATGGGAACGCATTTCTTTTGTGACATGAAAGGCCCCTTTCAAAATGCTTCTTCAAATCAATGGATTTCTATACACTGCACGTATAATTCAGACACACAGAGCAAAGCAGCCAATATGCACACGATTGACTCCCTATACAGTCTTGAATGCTAATGTCAGCGCAGTCAGAAAGACAGATACAGAAAGATATATTTTCCTTATTTTAAGATTACCAGCAGAACTCAAGGTAAGTAAACTGAGTTTATGTTCCATTTTCTGAAACAGTACTCCTTAAAACTCTGCAAAATAGAAATCTTAGATAGGAAACAAAACCATCTAATTTAGTTGGCAATAAGAACTTAATGGGAAAAGCTTATTCATGTTTCTCTTTGAGTGTCTTAGAGCTTAAATAAAAACAATGCCAAATTTTAAGCCTGCAGTAAATACTGAATTAATAATAAACACCTTTTGGGAATCAATGCAATCTGTGTCAGAAATTATACTGTAGAAAACTACTCAAAAAAAACAATGTACAAGACTAAAATATTAGGAAGTGTTAAATAGTATAGAAAACACAGAAGAGAATCTAGTTAATTAAGCTTACCTTTTCTTGCCAGTGTAATATACCAATTATTGCCAGGATGAAAACGCAGACACCAATTAAGGCTATAGCTGTCAGCAGCACAATGTTACTTGGGGTCAGATACAGCTTGGCACTCCAGCTAAAGAAAAAAAGAAAAACCAAGGAAACATTAATACCCTTCATTAGGAAGCAGAAAACAGATTTAACTTATGAAGATGAAAAGAACCTGCTAGTGTAAGACAGGTAACAAGTTGGTCTACAGAAACTAGTGGCTACACTTAGAGACTAAAACTTAATGGTGTTTACTTGGAAATATATGGCTGAATGTAATTATTTTCAAGTCATGCCGTGTCTGAATTCAGCTTCTGTTTAACTTTCCAGGAATGTTATAGATATCCTCAGGGCCTGACTTTTTTCCTGGTTAGGAGATATAACTCCTGCCCCTGCCCAGGACAAAGTAAAATGTATAAGAAAACCTTCCACAAAGCTGCCTGGGGCCTGGGGAGATGGAGAAGCAGGGTGAAGTAGGCCCGCGAGAGAGGATTGTTTCCTCCATGGGAGAAGCTCCTCTTGGACAGGCCCCTGGGGGCCAGGCAATTGGGCATCTCTCAGTCTGAAGTTTACCCAGGGACAACTGCAGTTGTAGGCAACAGAACCTGTTGATTATGGCAGGAGAATGCTAGAGAGCAACAAAATTAAGCGCTTTAAGAGCTTCTGGAAGTCATCCCTCCAATGCTGTGGGGTCCTGAGGCTCAGTTAACATCGTTTTTGTACTAGAGGCTTCCCATCACAGGAAAGCTTGTCAGCAGAAGGCTCTATGTTGAGGCAGCACCAAGGCCTCTCAGGAAACAACATATCTATGTTAAAAAAAATAATAGATTTAAGAAGGGTTTATTATGAAATCTGTTTTCTTCTGGGGATTCTATCCTCTGCTATTTTACAGTGTCCATAGCTTGCTTTATAGGAAAGCAAAAAGAGTTTAAGGACAACCGAAAATTTTTGCGTAACACATACCTTTAAATACCTCAAGACTATAACTAAATTTTCTTCATCTGGCAGATGTTATTACTGTGGCTGTTAATTAGCAACGCAAGAGGCACCTCACTTCTCAACTGTTATTTTTCCTATAGTAAAATTAACTTCTGAAACTGATGTCAGAATCATTTTTGCATGACAAATGCAACTGACCTCACTAGTAGATCAAGCGGCAAAAAGCAGCTGGAATATGTGACTAATGTTTTCTCTAATAGCAAAGAGAGGAACACGCTCTCTTTCTGGGATAAACATTTTAATTGCTAAGTAAATTCAGTGTTCAAGCTCTTGTGTAACCAACCCATTCACCTTCACTTAAAGAAAAACATTCATACCTGTGGCAACAGATACTGAGTTCAGAGGGCTGAACTAAAGCTTTTTATATGCAATTAGACAAAAATTGCACGTTTGGTGAAACAAAACTATTTGCTTTAATCATTACCATGCTTGCAATTTGTCAAAAAGAATGTTGGTAAATCTAGCAAATATGTTATTATTTACAGGAGTTGAGATGGTAGTACATTTTGATTGTATGAGCTGCTATTAGATTTTGATTGTTTATGGGCACTAAGAGTCTGTGTAAATACTTGAGAAATATTCTGCCTCATCACAGAAGTAACTATAGCTATAGAACTGACCCCCGCAATTGTTCTTAAATTTACTTTCTACACAAGTGGCTATTTTTAAACCTACACATAAGGCCTAATTTAAATTCTATATCAATGTAATCTGGAAGCACAAATGAAAGTGATGATACCTTCGAGGAACATTATGAGGATAGGGGATGACTATAAGCTGGGAGTTGGGTATGATAGCTGTCCATTCCTGCTTTCTAATAGCCTGAAAGAAAAACAAGGGCTATGTCAATTCCTAACAACCCAACATACTTAAACAAAGAAATTCTCTGTAGAAACATACAGAAAGAAAAACAAAAAACCCAGTTGCTTTTTAAATTTTTAAATATAAGTAATTATGCCCTTACATTTGTATAAACCTTTTATTCTGAAAGCTCCAAAGTGCTTTAAAAGAGAAAAAAAAAATGTAAAAAGCAAAATAACTATTGCTGACATGAAACACAGCATCTGCTTAAAAAGTACAAAGCAACAACATAATAGGGAAAGAAGAAAAGAACCAATTCTACAAAGGAGACAGGAAAAGCAATTATCCAAATCAGAATTTGGCCAGTACACTAATTTAAATACCTCACTTTAAAAAGTAGTACCATCAGATCTTTAAAGACTGAAAATGGTCAGGACCCTACTTTCAGGTTTCATCTGAAGATGAGATAATCACTGCAAGCTCCACCTTGCATCACACGTTTTATCACTGAGGCAGAAAGGACTATGTGAGTTTATAAGCTGGCCAGACCAACCCCTGGAATGTCTTATAGCCGAGACCATAATAATTGGGCCTTCATATCTAATATACATTTACCATATAAACAAGCACTATATACCTGTGCTAACACTTATAGGTAACTTCAGTCATCTTTTGGTCTTAGCACTAGGTTCAGAGCTTATACACACCCCCCAAAACCAGGCATACAAGGTTCTTTTTGTCAAACTTTTCTGTATTCAGATTTACTTATTTGATATTTTTGCTTCTGGAAGGAGAAAAAACCCAAATGTCCTTAGCAGTATGTCCATCCAAAGTCTGTTAGGAAAAGTAACACTATAAACATTAGTTTGACCATCTTAAATTTCAACTAACCTTTTCTCCTAAAGGACGAGGAATGCCAACATACAAATGATCGAGGAAATTAGCACTACGTCCCAAGCCTAGCACATTGTATGGCAACTGGAGAGCAAAATGTGCTGACTGGCTAAGTTGTCCAGCTGAAATAAAATTAGAAAACAAGCCCAAGTAGGTATTTTGGGAAGAAAAAAAAAAAAAGCAACCCTAAACACACCAACTTTCTACACAAATTCACATTTTAGAGTCAGTAAGAAAATGTTTAAAAATTTTAACCAACCACATGATTATTTAATTGTTAAAGACTCAATCCCACGTTTCCAAACTACTTGTGGGCACTCACTTGGAGAATAGCTTAAATGCTTTAGATTTCAAGGTAAGATGATTCTTTTGAGCACCATTTCCATGCTAAACTGAATCTCTACTATTTGTTACATGTTGAGAAGAAATCATCCATCTGCATTTATTTTCATACAAGTAGTGCCAAATCTTTTGCTTCATTGATTTACAAGCTCAGACTCAACATGTGAAGGTTCACTTTAATTCTTATTAGTGTTACTCAGCAACTACTGTTTTTTCTTGTGTCACAAAATTAGCTAAGTAAATTTTCATGAACAAATTCTCAAATAATAAATTGATTTAATGAAAACAGTATTACAGTAGTTGCAAGTTAGGCCCCTGTGAGAGCATGTAATTATAAATAATTAAAGGAGAGACTGCAGGGAAAAAATACCGATTTTTGTTTCCTGAAAAGGCAGTAGGGAAACAGGTAAGTGTTGCAGCTATCAACAGGTTCACTAACAACCCATTTCCAAAGTATTCACTTATTCCATTTAAATAAAAATCTTGTAATCTTTAATTTTTGGCAAACTGATTCAGATCTTCTGTAGATTCTTCATTCATTCTCTAGAAAGCCTCTTAGTAAGTGATCTGGTTATACAGCAGGAACAATATCAGCACCTCATAAACACTGAAGTGAATTCTGCCCTTCACCAGATAAATAGAAATGAGTTCAGGGGATACTTGACAACCACAAGTAAGTTTACCTGATCAACAGAAACAGTTTTTCAGAAAGGTATGATGTAGACAGTATTTTTTAAGTGTCAGATTTTTATCTACTTTGACACCTGACAGATTATGCCTGAAATTGGAAACTGTAAATTAAGCGACAAAATAGAATGTGAATTAAAGAACATGAATTCACATTTTGTAATGAATTTACAGCAAATTCCTTTTTACTTCTCCACATTTTTTGCCAAGGCTGGATTCTGAAAGTTAGTAGTTTGCTTCCACTAGCTGGCTGTTGGCCATACTAGCTGCATTGCATCTTGCACAGTTGCAGTGAACAGAGTTGGGGGAAAACTCCCAAACCACCAAGCACCACAACTTCTTCGGCAAAGGCAAACATCCTTTCCAGAAAAAACAGAAACAAACTCTCATTCTTGGACATAGCCCGGTAAGCGCAAGCACGCATTTGCTGCTACACAACAGCAGTGATCCCGGCGGGAAGTCTCTGGAAAGTGATGTACAAGAGCACTCTAAAAGCTCTTACACCAAGGGACTACCAAGATATGACACCTACTTTCAGAAGCAGCTCTTCAGCTTTTGTATCCTCTTATGGGGGACAAACTACTTTGTATATCGGATGATGATAATTTTAAGCCCCTACTCAATACAATGATTACTTCATGGTTGCAATTTCCTGAACCTGCCCGCTCTCTACCAGCTTTTTAGGATGAAGCTTGCCATATGCTGTCAGGCATGTTTTGAAACAGGCCTGTTTAATCATGAGGTAAATATTCTGTATTACTGCAGTTTTAGAGCTATGATAATTTTATTTAAAAGGGCAAGATTAATGTCAACTACATACATTTAGATGAGATCTGAAAAATCAGTCTGATGCTGTTACCTTTTTACTAAGCTAAAATGCTATTAGCAAAAAGTAGCAATAACAGTTTTCCTACCGATTAAGCGTATTTTAGATTTACTTTTTCCCCATGCAGAACCATGTAACAAGCAAATAGATGTGGAAATATTTAAATAGGATTTGCACTTCAGTCCTCTGTAGTGAGGGCAAGGTGTACTGTGTACATTGTTAGGTGAATTCCTAGATTATGGAATCTGTGGCAGACAGCATTAGCTGAGTAGTTTTTCTCTAAGAATGGGGATTTTTCCAGTCACTTGAGATAACAATATAGGACTTGAGTCCTGAGTGTATCCCTGCTTTGTCACTGACTTCCCTTACATGATTTTGGCTAAATTGCTCAATCTCTAGGTCTCAATTTCCAAATCTAAAATTTGAGTAATTCTTAATTTAGAGTAAGCATGTAGTGTCCGAAAGCACTGATTACCAATATAAAAGTAGCAGGGAACAAAAGTACGTTTACTACATTTGCCTTATTTGTGTTTATAACTAAGGTATGTATTACTTGAACATGCTATAACAAAATAAAAAATTGTATTTAAAAGTTTTCTTCACTAATGACGAATTCTGAAGGACTTTCCCAGAAGAACAAGGTGCTGCTACTGTAATATTTAACATTAAGCAGCTTTTGGAATGACTTCTGAGTGAAATATTTAGGATTACGAGGAGAATGAAACTGAGATCTTCCTTTTTTCTTTCATCATACAAATGAAATGAATGTCAACTAAATTAAAGGAAATAAAAGAAAATGTCATACACTGTGTGCAGTCAGCCTTACAGAGGTTAGAGAGTCAGATACTGCAGCTAGAATTCTTAAAAGCACTGAATAATTTCATGGCTACTAGCACCGGTTCTTATGCCTGCTAAGATAAGGATAATGAAATCTTATGCTTCAGGATGTAAATAGATCATTTGCAAAGGTCAGAAAGGAATGTTTTCTTCGACAAAGCTGGCATAAAATGTGCACATACATTTCTTTATTTGCCTTTAAAACTGGGAGATATTAGCTAAGCAGGACTTGAGATGATAGCATATAGAAGGTTCTAGTTTAAAGCAGACTACAAATATGAAATCTTTGAGACTATTTCTTGTTTTACTTCACCTATATCTATCATAAATTCTGTAATAGTTTGATATTACTCAAATGTTCTACTTAGAACTGCAAACAAGTAATAAAGGATGACAAACATTCATCTGAGAAACAAAAATCCTGAACAAAGATTAAAAATAAAAAAAGAAATTACAGAGGGTACCCTTAACAGTTTGTTATCTCTGAAGTTCTCAGTTACCAGTAATTAATTTACTTATGCAAGTATTTAACAACTCTAGTTATTTGCTCTGTTGTAAAACTATGATAAACAGTTTTCTGCTTGTTGCAAGATTTGAAAATATCATTCCATCTTCAAGCAGGAAGGTGGGATTTATTTATTAGGCTAAGATTGTTCTTCAAGCTTTTGGGAGTCTCTGCAAGCAAGATGGAGAAAGTGGATGTTGCTTCATAGCTTGTTTTGCTTCATCAGTAGAACTCTTACTATAAACAAGAATTAAGAAAACTTCTGCTGTCCATGCTGTACATTACTACTTTTTAATGCTACTTTAACGACTGTTCAACACTGTCTTTTGCCTTATGCTTTTTCTTACAGAAAAAATTATTTAGAAGCACCCAGATGTCATGGCCTGTGGTACTGGTATGGAGTTAGTGTTTATATTTTTGTTTTACATCATAAATCACTAAGTTTGATTCAAACACCTTGAGCAGAGTGAAACCCTCAACATTTTAAGACATGGTTTCCAGTGGTTTCAGCCTGTAAGAGACCAAAATGATGTTGGGCAGCCAAACCTTACAAAATTTTGCAGAGTTTGATACTCAGAAATCATTCTGAACATCTCTGAATCCATCTCCTTATTTTTGAAGCCTGGCATATAAAATTTGAAGCAACACATATCATTAACCTTTTGAAAGTCTTGTCTGAAAAACAGAATGATGCGTGTATGACACATGCAGTACTTGTTCTTTTATATCTGAATTAAGGCATTTCCCTTCTGTTTCCATTTTACTGATGTAAACTTGCTGAAAGCTTATGAGTAGCTCAGTATGCCCTGGGTTAAATTGCAATGTCCTCAGCAGCTTATTTCAGGGTGACTAGACCTAAGCAGCATAAGTGCTTAAATGAAGCCAATTTAACTTTAGGAAAGGAAGGTGATTACATTTACATGTAGAAGCAATGTTTTCTATTGTTTCTTTAAACAGAACTGATAATGTGTGATAGTGGATTTAGAACAGACTAGTTGAACCTATGTAAATAGATTCATAAAACTCATACTGTTCAGTCAATTTAAATGAGCTTATTTTGTGGAATAATAGAGCAGAACATACAAGATCACCACACATAGTTGAAGGACTAATGGGAGCTCCTAATTCAAACCGGTGGGCTCCTGAAGCACGACTTTTTTTTTTTAATTACACTTTTCTTGACAAAATATTTGCTTTAAGTAATCCATTAAAGACATTCAAATTAATTCAAAGTACAGTAGTAATATTTAGGCTTTCAGGAGTCCCCCAAATTCAATATATTAGGGAACTGAATACCTAAATCTATTTTCATAAATAAAAATGTTATGTTGTCATTTCTTCTAGTTGCTACATTTTCCTTTAATTTTCAAAATGATGCATTTACCAGAACCTTTAATACAATCACCAAAATAGTAACTGAAGATACTTGTGAAGTGTGAATCAGCTCGTGATAAAACCCCCCAAAACCTAACAGTTAGAAATACACCAAGGAGTTGCTTTATTTTAGATATACATTCTTTACACCTGTTGAAAATGTAGGTGGCTTTTCTGGTAAAAGAACAGTTAATTGTGTGAAACAGCATCTGAGTTGTAGCCTCTGTTCTCAGACTTGCATCTGAGTCCTTCTGTACCACCATCTACCTTAATATTGAGGTCAACACATGAATGACTGCTTTCTTATAGATTAGATACACATACACATCCTAGAACTGAAAGTTATTCTGAAAAACTACATGCAGACCTTGCACGAATTGCTGCATAGCGGTGAACAACATGCATGGAAAAGCAGGAATAAGACAAAGCCAGTTCCAGTTAGGTAAAATTTCGCAGTGCACGTGCATCACTTAAGCTGCATAGTTGAAACACTACAGTGATATTTACATTACAGCCATTATCACTATTGTGCTACATTGCACACCAAAGTG